CGGAAGATCCACAGAACTCTTTCGTTGATTGGCTGAAATGTTATGGAACCCGTCGAATCTTCAGGACTTATAACAGGACGACCCAAAACCAAATCGGGATTAGAAAAAAGGTGAAATCATTCAATCGGATCCCGATTTGGGTGAACAGCGTCCATAGTTGCGGGACCACGGTCTACTCGCATACACGGCGCGTGCCCACCTACCCCCATCCACACGAACTCCATCCACCGCCGAGCACAGAGGAAAGAAAGAGCGCAAAAAGCCAACCCAAAGGGAGGGTGACAGCGCATCGTTGTTGCACGTGACTGGTCCCGAAAAAAAACGTGTGTGGGATGTGTTGGTCTGTGGGGCAATCTCCCGTGGGTTGTCGAACTTCAAATGCACAGACGAATTGGCGGCTTTCCGTCGGACGAGGGTCGATTCAAAGTGCCACATGCATAGACATCGTGTCAGAACCGCACAGAGGCCATGTACGCGTTTGGTGTGTGCTTCTCGGGAGCGATAGCTCCCCATGTGGTGTGGCCACGTCATAGCAGTACGTCACAACAGCAATCTGGCAGTTGGGCAAGCGGCGGACCTCTCGGGTTGTTCGTGGTTGACTGGAGAGATTCGTTTCCATTTGGCAGATCTCCCGTTAAGACACACAGGCCATTTCTGTCCGGATTTGGGTAGATCCGACTCTTTTATTCTTATATCGAAATGTGATTTCGAGATCTGATTTCTTCGTTAAGACCGACCCTGACTGCATGCAGTCATGCCACGATGACCGCGGTTCACGATGCATTATTACTCCGATGGTAGCAAGGATGGACCTGTGGCTTGGGCTGAGTTTTGACTGTATACGATGGCACCTCAGTAGTAGTGTGATTTGCCTTTCTTTGTGAAAACTAACACCGAAACACACCGATTGAAGATAGATGTTAGTCGATGTGTTCACCATAAAAAAAACACAGCAGTGAAGAACGGTCTCCGCACCCAGCAAGCAAGCAGCAGGTTTGAAAACAGGCAGCACGCAACAATCAATCTACACTGCGGCGACTAACCAATCCGTACACGACACTCACTCACCCTTGTCTACGACCTTAAGCGAGAGGGAGATCGTGCCGGCTGGGATCGAGCGGTTGCAGATGAAGCACGTGAGGTCGAACTTCATAAACGACCCCCCTCCGGCGCAGTCGCCGTCCTTGCATTTTGCGAACGTGACCCCCTTGTCGGAGTTCGTTCCCGGCGGGACGAACCGTTGGAGGAACTCCTTGCAGCCAGGGCGGTTGCACTTGACGGGGGGATCCAGCGGGAAGAGGCTCTCCTGCTGTTTCGTTGGGGTCCACCTCTCGGCGAAGGCGGCCGCCGAGTCGGGCGCGACCGTGTCGGTCCGCGAAGGTCCTTTCCCCTTCTGGGGCGGGGTGTTGAGTGTTGAAGGAGGACGGTGCCGCCCCGGCCGCAGCTCCAGCACCACCAGTGGTTGCGGGAGGAGAACCACCAGCAGCCCCGTCAGCAGCGCGGCCAGCAGAGGCACCAGCGCGACCACCACGGCGGCCGTTCGTCATTTCTCGGGAAGAAAGAGCAGTTTCCACACCATCTCCACAGCAGTTGCGCACGTGAAGTGAGCTGGGGGCGGCACATGCCTCCCACAGCAGACGGCTTGGCATGTGCCTCCGACAGCTGTTGTTGTTCTACAAAATGGACCATTGATTTTGTTTCTGTGTTCATTTCTTTGCTTCGAAGGGAGTCGGCGGGATCTGTTTCACGTCACGAAGGTGGTCTCCGCTGTTCTAGCGCGACCGCCCCGAGAAGAGAACGTGAAAGACTCCGAGAGTGCAAGACGCAAGCCTGCCGCAAGATGCAAAGAACCCGAGAGGCTCTCAAAGTCTCAAAGTCCCGGACGCAGAAGGAGAAAAGAACGCCCGAACAGTCCGCACCGCTAACGACCAGCCAACACAAATGTATAGATGTTCTTATATATATGTGGTCGTTGAGCTCACGAAGCGATCGGCGTGTTTTACAACGTCTTGTTGCCAAACGACGAAATCCAACCCCGATGGTTCTCGGTGGGGGGGGGAAGGTTAGTGGTATTTTCGGGAGAACTACCTGTAGGCGGCCGCTCTAGCAAAGAAAGGCTGCCTTTGTCGTCCGGCTTACACGCGGGCGTGGAGCGGAAGGAGAGGAAGGACCTGGGCTTCAACTTCCCGGGCGGGGTGGCGCTGTTTGATAGTGCCGCCCGTGACAGGGGGAAGCAGTAGTCTACATGTATACAGCCGCAGGATCCCCATACGTTCCTGCTCGACGTCTCCTCGAGGACAACGTCGAAGGCCTTGATTCTGCCGTTGGTGTGGCTGCCGCAGATTGAACCCACCGCGCCCCCCCGTATCATCCAGACTTCAGCCCCCATCAGCCTCAACCACCGTCATCCGCGAGATACTATCGGCCGACGACATTTCTCTTCGTTGTTCCCCCTCCATATTTTCGTCACCTGTGCTTCGACTGGTCTTCTTTCCGTCCTTCGACACCTCCTCTATACCCTTCCTTGCCGGCTTTTCGAAGCCGCCGGAGCACGATATAAGCCGTACTCAATCCATTAAGCCGTACTCAATCCATTAGATAGACTAGTCAGCGGTGACTACAGGAGTCCAGTGGTTTGATTTCGGCTTCTATGCACCCTGCTCGCCAGCTCTTCGTTGTTGACAACTACCGGCGCGCGCCTCTCCTCTGCTCTCGCGTGTTGATGGTAGACTATATTTGTGACCTCCCAGAATCTCAAGAAAATTCTTTGGGGGGTTAGACTATGTACGTACGTGTGCACACATACGTCCGTGTCAAACACTATGTCAAGAAGCAAGTTCACACGTCAGCATTGTATGTGGACAGCTGCAGCAGCTGCAACCAGTAAGCAGAAACATATAGTTTCCAGAGCAGTCGAGCCATGTCGTGGCGGTGTCAGCAAAGGTGCAGAGCAATGCAGACCATGCAGACCGCCGAGCCTCAGGTTGGGACCGACGTTGGTATTGCGGCAGGTATGCGAGGTTTCAATCAAGAAAAATCCGCCAAACGAAATAGAGACGACACTTGCTTTCTTGATTCACCTATCTATCAATAAGCACGAGGCAACAGCGATAATGACACCACGGCTGGCCGGTTTTATGTAAGATCATGAAGACACTGGTGTGGTAGTTAGCACTCTGGGTGTAGCGAGTCTTTGGTCTAGAGGCGCTGAGATGGGTGAGCTCTAGGTGCGGGGGTCGGATGCCCTCAACAGATAGATCTGAATGTATGTGGGCATGTGGGCGCAACAAACAACAAATTGTTTCAGGGTTGTTGTTCATCTTGCAGCAGTCAAATTCCTACAGAAGGATCCGTAAGCTTTATGTCGAAGGAAAAGCTCCCAAAAATGGCGCAAACGCCCTTGGAAGAAGCCTAGATATCAATATCATGTATGCAGGTACAGCATCTGTTCTTTCATTGTCTTGCATCACCCCTTTGCCGCAGAGCCCTCTTAACCCTTACGTGACTGGGTGAATTTGTTTTTTTTGTTTTTTTCCCAACAACTGGCTCTCTTCGGTCAAAGATCTTCCAAGCATGCGTGTACACCCATAAATCACGGCGGCGAGGATGGTGCAGCAGTGGGTCCATGTGTGGGGCTCACAGAGATGGGGACGCGGTATATGTAAGGGTGACGAATAGGAGTACAGTAGTACTACTGCTGTACAGCAGTAGCAGCTATGCGGAGAGAAATCGACTGTACAGCAGCAGTAGTTTCTGAGCAGGTGTGCATGCCTGTCTCCGACAGCAACCGTCCGCAGAGAGGATGTACCTGTGCAAGCAATACCTGTTGGCACATCTTCTCCACCTCATCCTTGGACAGAGCTTACGGCAACCGAATATATATGCTAGCGGCGCTAGATGCAAAGACGCTGATGGGAAACCGCCTCACAGAAGCGCCAGATCGACGAAAAAACGGCCCTCTCATCAGAGAATCGAGACCATCATCCACTATCGCACAAAATGCATAAAAATCGTGATGTCTTACTATCCTGTACTACAAAAAGAGAGCTATGATCGGAGCTGTGATCGGAGCTGTAGTCCCGAAAACTGTGCCTTTTGAGCGAAATTTCGCACACGGCAGACGAACCACCCTTCACTCCCAATACTGGGAACCACACGCACCGCAATCACAACAACATCAAGCACCGAGGCAGTACGTTAGCATCGGCTCCGGTGTTCGCTTTCTCTGCTCTCCCCCGCGGATGCGGCACCGGGTTGATCATATGTCCAGGGTGCTGTATGTACCCTCCGGTGGTATATTGTGTTTGAATCTTACAGTATGTACCGGTAGGCAGTAGATTGGATCTGGAAAGGATATCTGCCCCACTTCCGAGAGATTAGGCATGGGTGAATAGTGTATTATTGTACTATGTGAGGCCTGTGCGCATTGCTGATAAGCGTGCTTTTGGGGTGGGCTACCTCTGTCTCCCTGCTGGTCTCTATGTATGCTTTTTGCTCTTAGCCGAGGCACAACGGCGATCTTTCTGCACGCAAAGTGATCGGAGCTGAGAACGGAGCTGAATCGGCCTGAAGTCACATAAGATGCCTTGTACATACACACGAGAATAGGAGAGTTTCGTTCTTCTTCTGTCGCTGGACCGGACTGAATCTCGCGGACCGACTCGAAGGCCTCCCCCATCGGCATGTAACCCCTTTTCATCTGTCATCTCCGCGGCAGCCGGTCCACTTGTGCTCTCTGCTGGCGAGTGACAGTCAAGTTTGCACCTGAAAATTCAAATTTCTCGACATGAAGAAAGCCGATTTCCATTTTTTTACCGCGCGCGGCGGGACTGCGATCACCCATCCAATCAGAACAGTCACACGTTTCGGTTCTTCTTTCTCCATTCTCCATCGCTCCTCCTCCGCGCCCCCCCCCCTCACAACCAGCTACAACAGCAGAAGATCTACTTTGTACCTTGAAAGCGCACCGAAAGCGTAGCTAAAAGCAGGACGCATCCACCATGTACCTGTCGACGCGGGATCGCGTCAAGCCATGTCGGGTAATCGCCCTCACAAGAAGGCCAATCCGCGGACCAGCTTCCCCGCCGCCGGGGATCAGCATCAGCATGCAGCGACGGCTAGGCCTGTCCCCAAGAACGACACCCGACCCCCATGCTGCTAATCGAACCGCACGGGTCGGAGAGGACAAGATCAAGCACCGCCGTGTCGGCATGGTGAGTCAACGGTGTACTGCTGGTGCTGTATAGGCAGGTCCGGGTGAAGGCGTGCTGCTGATCGGTGCCAGGTGTTGCCATGCATGGGTATATGTGCGGTAGCTCGCGTTATTATTGATGCTTCGGCCGATCTAGAAAGATCAAAAATGCTACAATCATCGCCGCTCGATCGCTGTAGGGCGTACGTCCTTGTAGATGTGGTATGTATCCCCGCACACCACTGTTGTTCCAGGCATCCAAGCTAATCACCTGCACCTCCTTTTTCACGGCTGATCGGTCGACTCCCTGCTGCGAAAGCTCGCGAAGTACGTAGACGGGTTTCTTTTATGGTATCTTTGAATCTGAAAAGTGGAACCGATATGTTGTTGAAGATCTATATGGGAGACATGGGGCTCGCCCCCGACATCCCGACATCGATCTGGCCTACACCCTCACGTTGCCACGGGTGGTTGACCTTGCCCTACTGTAGGCCTTTGCGATTCGATTGACGGCATTGCCGTCGACTGACATCGTCGGCCGTAGCCGTGCTGGCCGCCCCTGCGTCGTTGTCCCTGGCGCCCGGGTCTGTAGTTCGTGTCTTGTCTGTACGTGGTGAGACATGCGATCGCAAACACGAGCGACAGGCCGGCGGCGGGAATCACAACACAGCGGTGGCCATCAAGGACATCGCTGAGGGTGTCACCCGACCTCAATCCCGACGGAACTGCGCGGGTCGGGAGTAAGATCAAGCACCGTGGCGGCACGGTGAAAGAGGGTTTAGGCCGATCGAGATGTTGCCATCCTTTGTTAATTATTGTCTTGGCTTATCTTAAAGATAAACAAGAACCGAAACAAGAACAAGAGAGACTAAGAGTACATAAATGGTCTACATGTGCCATTACTCTGTAGCGTCCGTTCTACTAGTGTCACTGCCTCTCGATCGCTCTATGTAGGGCGTGCGTTCTCGTATGTATGTACCCCTCGTATTTTTTGTTCCAGGCCTCCAAGCAAAGCATCTGCGTCTCGTTTTTCACGGGTGATCGGTGGACTCTTCGCTAAAGGCCTAGTGTAGATCGAAGAATCCAATAAAATAGTTCAAAGTTGTGTGCATGTACATATTCCATAATTTTGGCATTGAATCGATATTTAATTATTAGTTAGTGCTGTCGATGCGATGTCGGGAGAAGTCGCATTAAAAATCTACCGCTGTAAACCCTGTTCGACACCCTTGAGGGTTCATGTTTTCTTAAGAAAGGTCTCATACGCCCCCGCACAAAAGCCTGCCGTACAGTTTCATCTCGAGCAAAGTTGTTGGCAAAAACTGACCGTGTGTGTACTTGTTCCATAATTTGGCATTGAGTTAGTATTTAATTATTTGTTTTGGATGGTGCGATCGATGCGATGTCAGGAGAAGTCGCATCGAAAATCTACTGCTGCTGTAAACCCCGTTCGACACTCCTTGAGCGTTCGTGTTTTCTTAAGAAAAATCTCACACCCAACCCGCACAAAATCCTGCATCGCATTACTCCATTTTTTTTCGCGACAAGGGTTGAGCAAATCCTCATGCCTCCTCTAGCACCACGAACAAGACAGTACACAGATGGGATTCAATATGGTCCTCCCGCTACGTAAAACGATATGCAGCTTATATCGCCACTTGTCTTCAACTCCTTGGTCCCGCTTACTCCCCTCCTGAAAACAACAACACACCAACAGGACCGTAACTTGGGGAGAGCGGGCACCAGGACACCCGGAGACAAGGACGGCAGTGGCGGCAACAGCAACGACAAGAAGATCGTGCAGTCTGGCGATGAGACGGACATCCCGTCACCGCTGTCCTCGCGAGCCTCTTCTTCGGCGGAGATGGACCAGGGCACCACCACCACCACCAGCGCCAACAGCAGCAACAGCAGCAGCAGCAGCGGCAGCAGCAGCGATGAGGGCGGCAGCAGCAGCGGCAGCAGCAGCAGCAGCAGCAGCAGCAGCAGCAGCAGCATCGGTGAGAGAAGCAGTAGTGGTGAGAGTGGTAGCGAACGAGGTAGCGCCTGCCCTGATACCAGGCTATCCACCACCGTGTCCATGTCCACAACAATGGTTTTCTGATCGGGAGATGTTCGATCTACAGCAGGGAAAACCATAGGGCACAGACAAGAACACGGCAGACATGTCATGCCTATTGTTATCGTTGTTGTCTTCACAACAACATCACTGCGCGCGAAACATGAAACAATCCTCTCTCCGTCATTCGGACAACTACGACCACAACCAACCGCTATCTTTGTTCTACGTTCACAAGAGCAATCCTAACGCACCCTCACTGAAAAAACCACTACTCCATGCTCTACGTTCACAAGAGCAATTCTAACGCACCCTGACATCCGCCGCTGGCCGTCTCCCCTTTTTTTTATTTTTTTCCCCTCCATCAGGGATGGCGAGCTCGACCGTCAGATCCACGATGCCCCAGAAAAATCTCACCGCCTCCCGCAAGAAACGGTCCGTTCTCACTGCGATCGCGTGCAGACAGCTCGCCGCCGCGACCTCGAAGCAGACCAGGCAGTCCGCATGGGCGATGAAGCCCACCGAGTCCCGCCGGCAGGCCGCGGAGCGACGGACGCCCGTGGCAAAGGTGTACCCTAGGGCGAAAGCGGCAGCGGAAGCACCTTCGAAGACGACGGCAATTGTCAAGTCGAAGTCATCGAGGCCTAAGGGTACTACTACGTCGAAGAGGGTGGTCGAAGGAGGCGACGGGGGCAGTGGGAGAAGCCCCAGCAGGAAGCGCGAGACACCCAGGTGAGTGCTTGATGGTTGATGGTTGTACTCCTGCGGGCGTTGTTGCCGCTGCACGTTTGAGTCCACACCGAGGGGTGGCCCACGTTCGATAGCTACGGTACACTTGGGTGTGTTGCATCCACCAAAGCACGCACCTTCTTTTTTGTTTCTCGCCGTATCGTCCGTCCCCTTCAGCCTGTATACTTGTGTGCGACACGTGCGCGGCCAACAACTGCTTCTGATACGGGTACATGGCCGCACAAAATCAGTACCACACACGCTTTTGTTCTTCATCCTGTTGCGCCTCTCCGAGACCTTGGGACATGATTCGAAAGACAAACACTTTCAAACATTGTGGTGCACTTTGCTTGCTGTCCCAATATATGACGTCACCATTTTCTGAAACAGGGTCTCCGCTTCCCGCCACATGGCCTGGGAGCGTCAACTCAGGGCGTCGACGACAGCAGGGGCCAGCAATCCCGACCGCACGAAGGACGCGGCAGGTCACCGGGCACGGCAGAAGGCCGACAAGAATGGCGGTGGCGACGGGGGCGGCCGGCCATCCCTCGGCACCTGGGAGAAGACCATCGTCCGACTGGAGATCTTGAAAAAGATCACAGGAAAGGTGAACTTGTTCTGTTTTTTTAATACTTTTTTTTTGCATCGGCTGTAGTGGTAAGAGCAATGGCCCTACCGGTGGCAGTAGCAGACGTGCGTAGTTGCCTTGTGGCGATTGCCTTCCTGCAGTGATGCCCACAGCTCGCGACACAGAAACCCCGAGTCGTTTTGCTCCGGCCGACTTTGTGAGCATTTCTGTCGTCGACCTCTCCATGCAGTGCGCCGTCGATTTATCGTCTAGACGACTTGGGGATAGGGCTATTGTAAGGGTTCCTTGCTTCCAGTATGTGTCCCTTCCCTGCACAGATGCCACCCTTTATCACCCTGGGTGCTTTACCGCCTACTGTCTCGTATTTTCGTGTTAGCTCGCCTTTTCTTGGGGGGCTGTACACTAATTATTTCCTGCTCGCATGTGTTTCCCCTGGATGCTTTTCGTCTGGGCGGCCGATATCGTGTGAACTGAAGGGCGATGAGGAGCTGGAGTGGCTCTGCTCGGCTAAACAGGGGGACGGGATCCAGAAGAGCGAGACCCGGAGAGATTGTGCGGAGACCGACTACCACCGCCTCCTGTTCCAAGAGTCCATGCTGCAGGTAGGCCTGGCAAAGAGTCAGGCGATCGAAATTGAGCTCTACCCTGTTTTTTTTGTGTGTCCTTGACCTATCATAGCTCGATTTGGTTTCTAATTTTGCTTTACGGAACATCGCTTGTACCCGACCTCTACATGCACCTAGCTCCATTATTGTCTTTCTTTTTCACCTTGTGGTTTTTCTTTCGACGCCAACGCGAACGTTCGACAGGCGGGCATGGAGATCCTCAAGGACCGCCGGCTGGAGGTGTCCCTCAAGACCCTCGCCAAGATGGGAGGAGACCTCGAACGCCTGACCAAGCTTCACGAGCAGCTTGCGGAAGAGGTCGGTGGTGTGATACGCATAGTCTCGCCTTTTCCTTTTCGCCAAGGCTGTGGGCAGTATGTTTCGCCATTACCCACATCTTCTCTCTGACTGTTCTCATGCTTTCTCCACTCTCCATTTCGTCATGCTGTGTCGTGAGCTTTCGGAACATGTGACAGAAAGCGGTACTGTTGTGAGACCCTTGTCCTACTACAATACCTCGTTTAGTTTGTCCGCATCCAGTATTACGGCGTTACCTTCACAGCAGTCGTTCTTTCTCCCTTTCCAATCCCATGATGTGGGTCACCACTTTGTTGTGCTCTTTTACTTTCACTACCCTTGAGAACTCTGTTGTTTTTGTCGTTGCGGTACCTCACGTGGACTCTATGTTTCCCCCTGGTTGGCGCTACCTACCCACTTCATGTTTTCCTCTGAATCAAACAACAGAAATCGCAAATGAAGGAAGCAGGCACATTGGAGTAACACCAAGACACGCGCATGCACATACGGCTTTTGTGGAGTCAAGGTCGAATCGCTACGCGGTCCCTCACGTCAACCTACAATACACACGTCCGATTCATCCCGTCGTATTCTACCACTGAACGTCTGTGTTCATCTTCCAGACGTGCCGTATCCCTGTACACCGCTCCTCTGCACCCACATACACCCCTTGGAAACCAAAGCCACCACCCCCACCCGGTAAGTGACCTATTACTCTAATGAGTGCTTACCATCCAATAACCTGAAACGTTTGCTCCTGCTGCTGTTGCACCCCCGCTGTCTACCCGTACAAGCAGGAGGCGTCCCTCACGACCGTCAGTGCTGAGGACAAGGTCGACGGGCACGAGGCCACCACGGAGGAGGCAGAGTCAGCGGCGGCGGCGTCAGCGGCAGTGGTGGCCTCGCTGCAAAGAGACCGCCTCGGGCAGGCCAGGGTCGATGCCGAGGCCGAGCTTCGCCGAGTGTTGGAGGGCATCTCGGATGCACAGAGGAAGGTCCTCCTTGTGGGGCACGGCCTGAAGGAGGAGGTTGCGGGCGGGACGAGGAAGGTCTTCGGGGAGTGCAAGAGCGCGCTGGAGACAGCCATCGGTAGGCTGCTGCTGTTCAATGGTTGTAGTAAATTGTACTGTCGTCCGTTGTATCGATGGAGGCGCTGTTACGTCTGGACTCGAGCCTTCTGACGGATCCCTCAAAACCGCTTCCACAGACAGGCGTTGCCTGCATGCAAGGGTTTGCATGCGACGATAAAATTTAAAAACGTTTGTCTACCTTGAACCCAGCGGCAAAGGTGAGAATGTGGGCGAGGGTTGATTGACAAACAACCGCTATGACGTGAGCATGAACTACGTTCAGGAATATTCCTGTTGCGGTACAAACATTGTGGCGCACTTTCCATTTGTTTTTGTTTCACAGTCAAGTGTGCCGCAATATGTATGTTGCGATTTTCTTCTTGCATGTTTCCTGCACACGCAAAACTTATTGTACGTGCCGCCGTCCACGCAAGCACGACCAAGGCAACCATGCGCGAAACACAAAACAGACAGCAAGCGGAACAACTTCTAATCGCTGTGAGCATGCCCCTCTCTCCCCCCCCTTTCCGGTCAATTTGGATACATACGCTAGGCATCACCGGGAGTGTAGGGTCGGCGAGAGAGCTGGTCGCACCCACCCAGGCTGCGAGCGGCCTCCGAGGCATGGAGGCTGCCGTCAAGGCGATGGCTGAGACGCTTAGCAAGACGAGGTGAAATGTCGTACATCTACTGTGATCATGGAAGCGGGCAAGGGTACATGCGGGGACACCAGGTTTGGGGTCACCTCATCATCTTACGTTTCTTTCGGAAAATACTCATTTTACGTGATTGCCTGTTGGCTTCGCCCTGTTTGACCGTACGATCACCGACACAAAGAATCCTATGCACGTTTTCTCCCAAAAGCGCAAGATTGCACCCCAAACGTGTACGTTTTCACCCAAAACGTGCACCCCCCTTCCGTAGCATCACTTAACGTTACAGGGAAGGAAGGGGACAAGTTGGAAGCTCTTTCCTTCTGCCTGTAGCTCTGGATCTTATCCTGCCACAACAATGTAGAGACACCATTTTGTTTGTTTTTTCTATGATTGTGTTGGCGTTGTAGGCCATAAGTGTACTCGTTCGCCGTCTTCATCCAACCACGTGGCCCTTTCATTCACGTGCCCCCCCCCCGCCCGGTGCTTGCTGTTGTGGTTGGCGCGTTGTTGCGCAGGAGGGACTGCCAGGCAGCCCTTGAAAAAATGGAGCTGTGGCGGGAGCGAAAGGAGGCGCTGCCCGAACACGTCAAGGTAGGCAGGCGTGGCAGGGTTACCATTGTGAAGGTGTCGCGTTTTCCTCGAGTAAAATACGATAAAATACAGGCAAGACTTGAGCATGCACGGCTGGTCATGAGCACACGCACACGCACACACCCCGCTCTCCATCTTCTTCCCTTTCTTGCATGGACCCTCTCGTAATGACAATATGCAAAAAAAACAGCACGTGGCGGGCGAGGAGAAGGCATGGTTCGACCGCGAGGCCGGGGCCAACGCGCAGGCGCTGCGGCGCATGCGCTCGCTGATGCCGGTGGGCGTGACCGGGCTCACGCTGTCCGAGTTGGAGCAGCAAGCCATCGACGCCGGCTCGTTGTACCCGAGGGAGTTGTCGCTGAGACTGAAGGTACTGTAACTGGAGTGATTAGGTACACCAAGGGTGGGAGAAAATATGCGTGCAATCAAAGAAGTATTATCCGGCCGAGATTTAACGACAGGCAGTACCAGTATTATAGTTGAAGAGGATGATGGGTTGAAGTCGTTACAGCGAATGGAAGAAAACTGGGCCTATTTCGAGTCTACCAATGCCTACGCCCACCGGCATCAGCGAGCGCATGCAACGCAGTCTCAGGGACAACTCCCTCGGGTACAGGGAGCCCGCGTCGATGGCTCGCTGCTCCAACTCGGACAGCGTGAGCGCGGTCACGTCCAACGAG